CTACTCAGGGATCACTTTGGCCAGTGTGCTGTGGAAGAGCTAAGTTGGGCTACCGGGCGTACTGAAGTCCAAAGTTCTAAAAATCTAACAACCCCACAGTCCTACGGGTGGGGAAAAACTAATTTGCTGAAGAGTAGGACCTCTCAGGTTCTGACATTGACCTCATTAGACTCCAAGCAAATACTGAGGCAATGAGAATTCACCCTGTTTAGTAGAAGATTAGCACCATTTCGATTGCAATATGCATGGTGACGCCCAAATCCGACCAATACGCATCCTGCTAATTCCCGCGATCCTGGCCGCCAAGGGCAGAAACCACACCCGCCAATCCAGGCGAGGCAAGTGCAGCCAAAGCACAACGCCAGACCTCAAATGACACATCTTGATTGACATTGGAAAGGGGCATCACATGATGTCACATGTCTCATGAAGTCTCATGTCACCACATGCATTTCGGGAACTCCCATCCTTTCCCCAGTTTTGGACGACTTTGCCGCAGCTTCAATTGGAGAGGCCTCGCTTTCTTTCTCATCCTTCTTGTTCCAGTGAGGCAGCGCCTTTGGGAAGTCCCATCGGATTCCCAATAGTTGGAAGAAGAAGGGTGTCCAATCTCCCATCCCTTTCTTTCTCATTCCTGCAATGTTGGTGTTCAATCGTTCTAAACATTGAAGACGGTTCTTCTCTTGTGTTCCGCTCTGGCGGTCGCTCGGAGGATTGCACAGAGTCTGACCTGGGAACCCATGTTTCGACAAGAATTCGCTGAGTCAGTCAACTCTTCAACATGTTCCTGTCCCCGCTTTTTCCCCCTCTTTGTTCTCCGAGACGCTCCCTGGGACCTTGGTTCAGCTTGTATCGCCAACGGATTTGTCGCCAGGATTGGCCATCATCCGTTGACGCTTCCAAAATCGGCTCCCAACGAAAGTCGTGCATCCCTGAGAACTTGCCTGTGACAGCTGGCAGTTTAAGACAGAATGGTCTGGAATGCGTTTATATTATATTCGAGAGTCGAACTACGACATACCAGCAACAAAAAAACATAAGCACCTCACATACAGCTTGTCCTTCCGTGAGCTTCCGGTCTGGTCCTCAACACCCCCAAATTCAACCCACCGGCCCACCTCACCTTGGTAGTTCACCAGCTTCCAGGGTTGCTGCAAGGCCTCCAGCCATTCCAAGCGCGCCGTCACCACGTCCGGCAGGCGAAGCGTCCGCAGGTCCACCGTGCCTTTGCCTTGGCGAACGACCGGCGGATCTTCAGTGGAGCCAGATGCGCTGCTGCGCACACGGTAGAGGTTGTTGTGATGTGTTTCCAAGTTGAGTTTCCCGCACTGGAATAGGATGGGCGCATAGATCTAGAAGTTGCGTTGCTTTAACCAAGATCTTCGAGCTCAACTTGCTGGTGTCAACATGTTTCGCTTGTCATTGGCCCAGAAGAGCCAACGATTAGCAGTCTAGCACTGCTCCACATGATATAGACATAATGGATGACAATATTGAAAAGTACATAAAACCATTGCATTTTGTTGGGTGAAAAACCACACATTGAAGTCTGCCTGCCTACCCCACTTGCCCAAACAGCTTGACACCCCTCCCATTGCAGGCTGAAGCTCCAGCACGGGCCAAGGGTAAGAGAGACAGGACCACGTAGAGACTCAGAACACAAACCACCTCGGTGTTGGATGTGAGGGATCACAGTTGCAGGTGTTTTGTTCCCTAATTAATGGTTTTGTTTTTTCATGCCTTTTCATCACTGGAAGGTGTTGTCTGCTTGGTGTTTCGTTCCCGATCAGGCTTCGGATGCGGAAATGGTGATGCCACCCCCCCCCACCCCCTAGCAGGGAGGTGTCAGGAGGTGTCGCGGGCATTTTAGGGTCAGACAATCGCGGGAACTCCGACCTGCCGCCGGCACTCTTTGCACACCTATTCCTGGTAATGTGTGGCGTTTTGGTGAAACGAAGCGTTACAATGTTGGTGAATTGGATGACCATGGTGCGAAGTCGATTCACGATTGTAAAACCAATGACAATGTTGTGGGAGAAAATGTTGAGATTTGTTGAGGATAGATAGTTGATATGTAAACACAGTAGGCCACTGGAAAGGACTTGGCAAAGGCGCTCGTCTTTGGCCTATTGGAGTCGATAACACACATTTGTCTTCCAATTCCTTCAGAAAGTGTGCAGGTGTGAAGTCCTGTGCAGATTAACTTTGCTGGAGCTGAGCATAATTCACATGATAACAACATATTTTCACACTCTTGTCTCTACCCGACTCTCTACCCCTATACATATATAGATAACTATATATATATATACTGTACCCGACAACAACCCACTCACCAGCAAAGCAGGCAGCCTCTACAGCAAGATTGAGCGGTATGTGCTTCAACATTTGGACAATCCAAAGTTGGGAAGGGGAACTCAGTTGACCTACGTTCACAAACCTTTGGTTGATCATAGCAAACCCTGGATCTGGAGGAAAGGAGGCCAGGCATATTGGGCACAAATTGAGGTTCGTCTGCAGCAGCACCTTCACCGCCTAGCACTGGGATCAGAGCAAATTGCACCATTTGCAAAAGCTTGGGTGGCGCCTAGATGATCATTGGCATGGGGATGCTAAAGTCACCTTGGAAGGTTTCAAGCTGCTCTACAACATGCTGTGGACCAACCATGATGCAGAGCATATCCAAGTGCTGCTCAAGTTTGCTAAAGAACAACGAGAACTCCACAGCGAGCAATCCTTTGTGGTTGAAACTGAAATCTATCGAACATGGATGAGCAAAGCTGCAGAAAAGGGGTGCCGTGGACTCTACAGAACTCTAAAGAAGGATGAGATGCCCTATCAGAGACCCTTTCAAGGACAACCCCGAACAGAGCGCATGACCATGCGACTTCAACAATGGGGGGCAATTTGGAAACAGCAGGATGTCCCACACCCACCGGAGGCTTTGGCACACCTTCAGAGGAAAGCGCAACAACATGCTAATGACCTTCAACCTCTGACGGACATGCATGTATGGAAGACCATTAAGCAGCTGTCACAGAAAGCCCCAGGTTTGGATGGCATTGGCTTTGATTTTTTCAAGGCCCTACCATTTCAGGCAATGCGGAACCTCATCGAGCTTTTCCATGAAGTTGAAGCTCAAGCAGCCATCCCAAATCAATGGGCGGTCTCCCTGATCGCGCTCATTCCCAAGAACGCTGACATTGAAAGACCCATTGCCCTGGTCGCGACCATGTACAGACTGTGGTGCCGTCTACGTGCACCATACACTCGGCAATGGCAGCTGGAGATCCACCATGAGTACTTCTGGGAGCGAGCAATGCCGGGCACAGAATGCCTTCAAGTTGCCCTCAAAAGGGCCTACATGACTGAACACCACAATGCAATGCAGAAAACAGTGGTGTCGGTATTGATGGACATGTCCAACTTTTATGACCGCATCAACCTTGAGAAACTGGCGCAACGATGGCTGGATTCCAGCTACCCTCCGGTCCATGCTGCTCTTGCCATGCAGGTCTACAGTGGAGGGCGCATCCTGGAAGTAGAAGGTGAAGCCTCAAAGCAGATTTGGGCGAAGAACGGCATCCTTGCAGGAGACCCTCAGGCACCTTTAGCTGCCAAGATTTATTTGCAGCCAGCACTCAAGAGTTTCCACAAGAAGTTCCCACAATTGCACACAGACCTGTGGATTGACGACCTTTCCTTTGACGTGGTAGACCGCAATCCACAAAATGCAGTGAGGGTGGCCATTGCGGCATACAACCACATCACCAAGCTCCTGGAGGATGACGATCTGGTGATTTCATCCAAAAAGACAGGATTTGTTGTCAGCAATGCAAAGGCCAAGGCCATCCTACAGCAGCAACTGCCCAAGGAGGGCCCTGCAGTGCATGATGTAATGAGGGATTTAGGCATTGACTGCACGGCTGGTCGATTGAGGAGGATTCAAACAATGAAGCAGCGGAGAAAAAAGGCCAGTAGGACAACCAAGAAGCTGCAGGTTCTCAAAATTCCTCTTCGCTCCATCCGCCTCAAATTGTACAAAGGCAGCATTGTAGCAGGCATCAGCTGGGGACACGAAAGCATGGGCCTAGCACCACAGGTCCGCAAGCGGCTGCGTGCAACTATGGGTCGTCAGATTGGCTTGCAACGTACAGGGAACTTGGACATCATTTACGATATGCACCCCAAACATCAAGATCCAGACTATGGGGCCTTTATCGACCAGATCAAGTCCTTCCACAAGTTCTATGGGGCTTGGCCGGAACACCTGGCCAGAGATCTTGAGAAGGCCTGGCAAGTACATGCTGCCAGATTGCAGCAGGCCAAATACCCCTGGCAGGTGGCGAAAGGGCCTGTAGCCGCCTTGCAATGTTACCTGCAAGAGAAAGGATGGACAGCAGACAACCCAGCAGTCTGGGCTTAGTCCAGGCTACAACGGCCAAGAAGACTTCAGGCTGGACATGCACTCATCCTGGCTGATGCTCAAACAAGAACTCAAACGGGCGGAGGCAGCAGACCGTCTATTTGCCATCAGCCAACGATCATTGCTTCAGGAGGTACAGAGACCGCTGGACTGGCTGCCGTGGCAACGACAAAGCAAGCACCTCAATAGCAGAAGTGCAGTTGCCCTCATGACTTGGCACCAGGGGGCAATTTTCACCAAGGTGGCTGATGGAGAACAGCATTTGCAGTGCCCGCACTGTGGCCAGTTGGCCACCCCGGCGCACGTCCTTTGGCTTTACAAAGAGACGAATAAGAGGTTTCCCAACCTTGCGCCAGAAGATGTCTTTGAGTTAGAACATGGAGTGAGCCTGGAGTTCTGGTCGCAAGGCCTTTTGCAAATCCCTGATCTACAGGTTTCAACAGGAGGTGCAGCAGTACAGGCTTGGGGATCTTGGACAACTCATGATGAGCTGACCCTCAAGAGACAAGAAGTGGTGACTATCGGCATCTCCACGACGTCCAAAGATGTTCGAGTCCGACATTTTGTTGTGGCAATTGTGCACCACGTCCAACTTGGGGGGCAACTTTATCGACAAGGAGCTGTCATCACTGTGTTGCCAGGCAAACAGTCGTGGGAACGTGCATGGTTCTACGGCATCCGCACGGTGGCTCACTATGTGAACTTGCAGGCTCCTTTGGTTGTCCATGTGAGCTCAACTCGAGCGCATGAAGCATGGACACAGCACAAACACAAGGAAGTCTTCTTCGACATGCAGAACCTCATCACCTTGGATCAACGAGCCCGCATCAAGGTTTTGGCCATCACACAAGACCAACTCAAGGACATGCCCAGAACAGAATGGTCGCTGAGGAGCCGCATGGCTGATGCAAAGAAGGCAGCAGTGGAAGTGGCGCTCTCTATGCAACCCAGAGAGCAAGAAAAGGTGCTACAGGAGCAAGACAAGAAGTACAAGCGAATTGTGCCTTTAGTGCTTCAACGTATCCAGTTTTTGCTTGAAGACAAGTCCCACTTCATCAACCAGGCACGAGAAAGTGGAAAACAAGATCGGCAGCACGCAAGAGAGCATAAAAGAGCTCTGTTCCAGGGCTTGGTGCCTCAGACCAATCCGGCTGGACATCAATGGGAACACAAAGGACGCAGCATTCAGTGCAGCCGCAAGAAGAGGCTGACCATGCACAACAAAACAACAGAGATCCAGGCAGGATCAGAAGAAGCCTGTCCATCACCCATCACAATACCCATGATTGGAGGTGGACCAACGGAGCAGACCGAGCCCAGCAGCAAAGCTGAGCTGCTGACTAGCTTGGTAAATGGTACCATGCCTTCAATGGGGCAGCATGAATTTCAGATCCACACCAACTATGTGGTTTGCCAGAAGTGCGGCATCCGGCACCTCAAGAACTCCTCTAGGGACAAGCTTGTGGCCATGGCCAGCAACAAATGCTGGGATGAACAATGGCAGCCGGAAGGCCAATGGACAGGAAGAGGCGCATGCAGTGGCCAAGGAGGAAAGCTTCAGCGCCAGCAAACAACTCAGGCAAAGGTGTGGCGCCACACCGGGGCAACAGCAGCTGCCAAGCTGCTTCAAGCCCAAAGAGGCCGCTTCGTGAGCACCGAAAAGGAGCGAAGAAAAAAATAATATATATATATATATACTGTACCCACTGGGCGGGTGGGCGCTTTGCTAGGCAATGTGACTTATGGACTCTTCGTTTCCTTGGGAACTTGGGGATGCACATGGGCACAGAAGCCCAACACCTCGTGTGGCTAGGTCAGTGTGTCTGAGATTCGCTGGAACAGGAAAGAGGAGAGGTGAGGAGGAGTTCTACCGGTTTCGTATATCGAAGTGGCTCGGATTTGCTGCGCTGTGTTGTGCACGGAACCTGAAACCGACAAACGTCAGCATCCAGAAAAGAATCCATACATATCTACACCGCCGTAAAAGTTGTTGGCGCAACTCAGGGGATAGCCACCATAGCCATAGATGGCTCAACACCACATGTCAATTGAATCATCTTTGAGCTATGAAGCACAAAAAGCTGTCGCACAATAATCATTAAACATCAAAGCTAGGGCTGCAAAATCTATAGATGGCGCATCCCAAAGCTCTTTTTCTCCCATCCCAAAAAAAGAACGCGGCAAGCAAGCACAAGGACTGCTCAGGAATCTACTGAAGGAGCGTCCAAGTGTTGCTGAAAATGGCGCAAGGCATCCCTGCTCGAATTCATCTTACGATGAACAGGTTTCCCTCTCCTTTCCTTTTGTTTCCTTTCCTTGACTTCTCCTGTCCCTCTCTGTTCCTTTCCCCGTCTTTTCCCTTTCCCTTCCTTTATTCCATTGATCTATTTTCACATAGGGGCAATATATGGCGCAACTCATTTCGGTTTGCTTCCCTTTTTCCTTCCTTTTGTTTCCTTCATTGTCCCTTTCCCTCCTCTCCTCTCCTCTCCTCTCCTCTCCTTCTCTTGCCTTTCCCTTTCCGTTCCTTGTCCTTTCCCTTTCCTTTTTCTTTCCTGGATTTGTCCCTTCCCTCTCCTCCTTCCCTTTCCTTTCCTGCGCTTTCTGCTTCATGCAGTATAGCATTTCCTGCGCTTTCCTCTCCAACTTCATGCAGTACAGCATCAGTGGTGAGATTTGCAGAGTTGAAGCCTACTGTATGCATTGATTGGCATTGCGCCATCTGTGGTTCTGACATAAAGCCCCCACACGCAAATAAAAGATGACAAAATGGCGATATCTTGGACCATAAATGCGGTAGTTTTCCAGGGTTTTTGGACTTGTAGATGGCGCAACAGTGTGTTGCCCCCTGGAGTTCGAAGATGAAGCAACAAAAAAAGACAAGCCATCAATTTTCACAATGGAGTATATCAGTATATAGTTGAGTGAGTCGAGTGATCTTGAGAGTGTGTTGTACGATCTTGTGAATCTTGTATGAATGGTTTCTAGCTGTGCCAAGTTACTACCAAACGAAATGGCCAGGCAGTGCTCCTTGGCAGTCGCCAAGCATCCACATCAGCCCCTAGAACAAGCTGGTAGAACCGGTCATCCACCAGGGAGAGATTCTCCATGGTGTTGAGGAAACCTTGGGAAATTGCAGCGCAACAGAAACAAGTGCCAGACTCTCACTTCAGCTTCCAGTATGAATAGAGGGAGTTAAGCATGTTGAACTTTGTGGGAGGCACGAATTTCTTTCCGGTACTTGGTCATCTCCAACCTAATAGGGTCTGAGATCCATACACTGCAAACACCCAACAGGCGAGAATCATACCAATTATATAGCGGAACCTTACTTACTAGTCTTTGCTGGTTCGAAATCAAACAAATGTATCATATTGCTATAAAGCCCTGGCTATCCCTGGCTTAATTGAAGGTCCAGCTACCTATGAAGCCATAATTGCCCGTTGTGTTGATCATCGCATTCAAGCAATTAAAACCTGGCAACGGAGAGCAAAGGATTGTGGTATATAGATGTATATAATTAGGTTGTTTGGGAAGGTGGCATTGAATTCAAGTCGAACACAGCCTTTGGAAAGCAAAGAAACTCTTGCAGAAGTGTTGCCATTCCAACACTCGGGGCTTCACACCTCACAACAATCGATCCTGTGTGTTCTCACTTGGACGATCAGGTCAGCCTTTGCTGGCATCTCTTCCAGCCGTTGACTCGACGAATAACCCGTGGGCTCGGCTGTGCACTTCAACTAAATATACGTATTCAAACGATACATCGTGTTGCTTTGCAAGCCGATTGGCCAACTCCTGCAAAAATTGCTGCTCTTTCGCCTATCCATGCGCTGATCCTGCAAGGCCACGGGCACCAAATTAGAAAGGGCAGGATCACCTCCACCTTGGTCGAAACGGTTGGGATGGAGGACACTGCGGAGGGAAGCCAAACATAATATATTTATTAGCTTCAGTATAGGTTGCAGAATCCGAGCGCCGGCCCGCGGAGCCCGTGTCCTTGCCGGAGGCCTTCGGTGGTTACCGACCGCGTCGCCACTGAAGCCCATGTAGTTTACAGTGCTTTTTGTGCGTTGTGTTCAAAAACATCGTGCATTACAGGGCGTCGGGCCCTTCGGCCGCCATGGATTTCATCTTGGCGATGTAAAAACACCTCGGCTTTTACCTGGTATTGGCCTCGGAAAGGGGGTCTGGGACGGGAAACGTCGCATCTTGAGAGTATGTCAACACAAATGGCGCAAAATACCCCCTAACATAGGCCCAACATAGCCCCAAGATGGGCCATGGGCCCCAGGTGGGCCAACATGGGCCCAAGGTGGCCCAACATAGATCAACATCACCCCAAGACCGCCCCACATAGCCCAAAGATGGGTTCGACCTGGCTCCAAGACCACAACCACAACCAGAACCACCGCAAGAACAAGAACAAGAACAAGAACAACAACAACAACAATAATCCATCCTATACATATATGTCTATGTGTGTGTGTGTGTGTCTGATATCCGTCCCCCTACTCCCCCCATGTCCTTCCTCCCTCTCCTGCGTCGGCCGGCGCCCAGCTGTCAGGCGTAAGCCTTTTAATACCAATATACTTGAAAATCACTTCAAGAAAACTGACACTAGGCTATGTATGGTAATTGGTAATTATAGCTTCTTTCTGTGTGTCCAAGAACGGTTTCAGTTACTTTAGTACTATAGATCCCAAAAACAACTCCAAACCGCCCAAACCAAGGTGCCAAGAAGGTGGCCAAGACAGAGAAGCGATGGAAGTCCGCCGGCCACACATGGGCCCAACGAGATCGTCGGTTCACCAAGGGCCTCGGGGGCAAGAACTCGACCCAGTGTGGTTTTCTTGATCCATTAGACACAATGTTCGCTACTAGGAACAAGTGCCTCGCTACTAGTAACAAGTGCCTTACTAGTAGTAACAA